TAATGTGAATTAGGAAGCTCCTACCTCAAATTGAGCAAAACCCTTAAAATGATCAAGAATTTCAACATCCAAGGGAAGCACCTAAGCTAAAATTGCTTACGCTAGCGCGTAGAGCTCATCGTGCTCTTCGTTTCACCTTAAACGTCACTCGAAAACTCCAAGAATTGAAGAAGTTATCAAGTCTCAAAGATTTGAAGCAAAGAAGAAGGAAAAATGGAGTGAAGGTAGAGCGAGGGAAGAGGTAGCAGGGAGAGAGAGTGTGAGAGACCAAAAATGGTCTCTAACCATATTTGTTTTAATGGTGGGTCCTACCACTAATTCTTTTCTTTTCCCTTTTTCTTTTTAATTTCAATTTACACTACATACATAAAAATGCACCACTTAATCCACATAAATTAAAATATATGAAATGCAAATGGACCCAACCACAATCCCGTACACATAATGTGAAAAGACGAAAATGCCCCTGTGACAATGAAAATTCCAGGAAAATGAAAAACGCTAAAAAAATCGGAAACGTCATAGTATCTAAATGCCCATTTGTGACAAACCATACCATGCATGTCCCAAAAATATCCTACCATACACACACACACACACACACACACACACACACACATATATATAACATGCCAAATAAATAATAGGTGCAAATGAAAAACTGGGAAAAATTTTCGAGAACAAAAGTCGGTCCCGACTCCAAAAACTTCAAAACCAATCCCGTAACTTCTAACATGCTTAAAAAGACTTAAAATACATTTCTAGGAATCAAAAACCCTTAAAGGTGACCCTCCACGACTCCTGGGACCCACATAGCACGTAAAATGAGATACGAAAAATAAATAAAAGAGAATGCCAAAAAATCCGGAACATTACATCATCCTTTGTCCTAATACCAATATTTGATGTAACGGGAGGATACCTTGTGCAATGGAGAACAGTGGAGGACCCTAGCTTTGTGCGATGGAGACGAGAGAGAGATAAAGCGCATGAAATATATCTTTTTTGGAATGCGCTTCCTCTGTTCAATAATTTTCATTGCGACGAAATAATATTTTTTACAAAAATCAATCCTTTTGAAACCATAATTTATTTTGGTCATTAATAACATGACCAACTGCGACCAAAATTCTATCCTTTTGTGACTAAATTTGATGGCCCAAAAAAATAATCCATTTGCCACCATAAATTGTTTTGGTCGTAAAAAATCAATCCTTTTGTGATCATAATTTATTTTGGTCATAAAAAATCAATCCTTTTGCGATCATGATTTATTTTGGTGGTTAATACCTACCTTAAATTTTACAGCCAATTCATTTTGTTTGCAAATAGCATAGTATTTGGGACTTTTCCAGTTTGGTCGCAAATAATTTGGTTGCAAAGGACAGATCTGTTGTAGATAGTATATTTTAATAGCGGTGGCAACAACAAAAACCATGCACTTGGTAAATCTTTGCCGTGGTTAATGAAACTTTAAAGTGGATTTTGCAAACCCACTCCAACTATGGATTTGTCCAATTTGCCAAATTTGAAGTATTTAAAATTTTACTCATTGTTATTGTTTTGGACAAAATTTAAAACTGAATTTCTTAGAAAATTTGTCCAAATTTTTAGGTCAAATTAATTTAATGTATATATATTCTTTCAGATTTAGATTAATCCCAATTTTTAGTATTGAGCAAATCAAAATATTCTACGGATTTCATGCATACTTGAGATTATCCGTAATTGGTGCACAACAGTGGATGTACTCGGACAACAGATATGTCGTAGTTTATTTGACACTCAATCTGCTACAATCTGGTGACTTCGTTTTGTGCTTTTTGTGTCACACAACAAGTGCTCCTCATTTGAATGGCGTTTGAATGGCAAGTGTACCTTCCATAGTCTTTCAAGTTGTGGGAGGTTTCTAAGATATTGTAGTAGTATCTAGATAAGTAAGGTAAGTAGGTAGAATTGTATATATTTTAAAAGAGAATTTTTAGAGAGTGAATTTTAGTCCTTCATTGAAATGCATCATATTGGTCCATTAGGAGGAATGCCTATAAATAGGGGAGGTATCTCTTATCTCATTTCTAACTCAGTCCTAGAATGTGAGTTGAGTACAATGTGGGTGTGCAAGCATATGAGAGCCGATACTTTTGATCCACCTCCAATTATGAATTTTGGTGATATTTTTTATTCAACTCTAATTATGAAATATGGATGCTAAACTTAACATATTCGTACTGAAACTTGGGAAATTACTTGTAATATCTTTAAAAATAATAATAATAAAAAATATATATATATATATACATATAAATATATAAATATATAAGATATGTACGTATGTTTTTTATCTTTGGGAACGGATTATGGTTGTGTTATCCTATTATTTTGAAATTTTAAAAAGAGTTTTATTTGACTTAAAACTCTAAAGATAATATCTATATTAGAGTTTGTATTATTTTAGGTGAGGAAAAACGAAAAGAAAACACCGTCCTTCTCAAAACCTACCTTAAACTCTTATCACGTTAATTCCTGGGTATCGATAACTAAAGCATAGTCAACCTTCTACAGTGGCTGGAAGGAGAGGTGATTAAAAGTCATATACGTGAAGAAGGAGTAGCGTTATCTTTTTGAGGCAAGTTAATCTTGCCTTATAATTTTATATATATGACTAACTTACTTATTAAAGTTTTAATATTAAATTTTGAATTCTGTGTTCTATAGTATATAGATCATCTTGTTAATATTAGGTACTTGTTGAAGATAGTTGTACATTATTTGTTTATATATAATGATATTATATTTACATACACACTTACAGTTGTTAATTGAGCAATTCAAAGGATCTGTGTTAAATAGTATCATTTGGGTAAGAATTGTATGCTATCCTGATGTAAGTCTTTATTTTGTAAATTGTGTGAATAGTCATTAATGAGTAGATATATATATATATATATATATATATATATATATCTTAATACATATATATAATACACTGTTATATATATATATTTTTTTAGAAACTTAACTGGCATATAAATTTAGTTACATATATATTGATGTATGAATTCCTAATGTAGACTCGTTCATTATTTAGTCTTTTGTATAAATTTCTAATGTGGAATTATGAATTTCTGATGTTGAGTATCAATTAAGTATAGACTAAATGTGTAATTGAATTATCTATATAAATGCAATAAATTAGATATTTACTTACATGATATTACTTATTAAGTCTGTTTATAAGCATAGAAATTATAGTGTTGGGTCTCTGGGCATTCTGTATACGGGTGTATATCTGTAAGTATATATAGTTGATTATCAGTGTTGGACTTTAAGACATCTAAAGTATATAAAGTTGGTTTCATGGTTATCAGTTAAACAATATATCTATATTAAGGAAAAGACACTGGGCTGGGCTTTGATTACATGTGACTATAAAAATTATATTTGATTATTTAACTTTCTCTAGCATTGAAATGACACTACTGTTGGCTGGAAAACGTGACTAAGGTGATGTGGGTTAGTGACCATTAAACCACATGAATAATGTTTTGTATATACATATATAAATACTATTTGACTAGTATCAATAGGTTGTATAAGACATATGAACTGTGGTTGAAGATAATTTTAAGTTACCCGATCACATGATAGTTCAGTGGGAAATTTCCTAAAAGTTTAATTGTTATTCTCATAATTGGGTAATCAAAGGTGCATTTTTATGCATTAATTATTATTAATTAATAATATTTTTTTTTATAATTCACCATAATTAATAATTAATGGATGAGTTGGTTAGTTGGAGGGGTAGTCAAGGACTAACCCTATGGTCAGGGACTTACCTATTTGGGAGTGCACTACCCTTTATTATGGCCATGGGTCTAATAAGCCCTTATTGTGTGGACGTGATCAGGGATCATCTGGGGAGTAGACGTATAATCCAGCCACACGTGTGTTTTCGGTAGTCAGGGGCTATACGATTCACACCACTCTATTGGATAAGAGCCCGGGGCTCTTATAAGTTATGTAGATTTAATAAAAGTAAATAATGTTGTTGAGTTTATAATTAATTGGAGATTATAAAATTCTTTAGTAATACACTTAATTGAGTTGATTTTATATATGGGAATATAAGGTATGGTTAACTTGCTGAACGATGATTGTGTTTAGCATTTCTTGCTGAGCTTGTGAGCTCACCCCATTATCACATTTCAGGTGCTCGTAGAGTAAGAACGTGATGGTGACACACGACGGGGACAGATTATAGCTCGTTGCGCATTGATTTACTTTAGCTTGGTTTTTCTTTATTATGATTATTGTAATAAAGTTAATGTTTTATGAAACTTTATCGAGTTGATTCAGTTGTCATAGATGTTCTGTTATATTAGAGGGAATTTCACCTCTATTTATGGATTTGTATAAGATTTGTCAGACTCTTATGGTTATTAAATTGAATGATGGGATTCATCGTAGTTCTTTTATGAAGGACAAGTAGTTCTTGTGTTAAAATTTGGGGTGTGACAGTTTGGTATCAGAGCCTAGGTTAAGAATTACCTGGCTAAGAGAAGTGATAGTAAGAATAAGAGCATATACTTATACGAATTATTGCTCTCTTACCATACTCCAGTTAAAGTATAAATTACATGTGAGACTTATCATTGACATTCTTTACTGAAAATAGGATGTCAGGAGCTGGAAGAGGCAGAGGATGACCTGCTAGAGGCAGAGGTCAGGGAGGTGCTGGTCGTGGTGGTGTTAACCATGACGATGTTCAGTTGGAGGATGCACTTCATGCTCCGAATCCTATGATTGGATTTATCAGAGATATCCACAAATTGGGGGCTGTTGATTTCGTCAGATCTACCGATCCACTTGATGCCGAGAAGTGGATTGAAGATTTGGAAAGATATTTTGAGATGATGGACTGCACTGAGGTGCAGAAAAGGAAGATTGGTGCATTTTTTTTATCTGGTGAGGGGCGCCAGTGGTGGTAATCAGAGACTAAGATGGTTGTGGACATTACAACTATGACCTGGGATGATTTTAAAACTCGGTTCAATGACAAATACTTTCCAGAATTAGTGGATGAGAAGAAGGCAACTGAGTTCATGCAGCTGGAACAGAATAATGATATGTCAGTCAGTGAGTACGAGAGGAAGTTTACAGAGCTATCCCGATTCGCTCCTCACATTGTTGCGAACGAGTTACACAAAGTCAAAAAGTTTGAGCGGGGGTTGATCTCTCATGTGAAGAAGTTTATGGTGGGTCATCGTTTTGACACTTATGCTAAAGTGGTGGAATGTGCCATGGTAGTAAAGGAGAACAATAACATTGCCTTTCAGAAACAGAAGGAGCGTAGGGCAGAATAGAAAAGTAAGGGGGCTAGCAGCTTTTAACAGAACCAGAGCAACTCTCAACAGAATCAGAGGGGTCAGCAGCAACAGACTCAGAGAAACTGGCAGGGTCAATCTTGGTAGAGGGGTAGACAAGATTGGCAAGCAGAGAAATGGCAGAGAGTGGGTGAAGGTGAACAATCCACAGCTATAGTACCAGCCATACCTAATGATGCACAGCCATATCAGTTTAATGGGCATTGCTATAATTGTCGTGAGCAAGGACACTTGGCTCGTAATTGTCCCAAGCCTCACAAGAATAACCAGCAGAAAGGTCATGCACCACAGCAGCAAGGAGGTGCAAGGGTTTATGCAGTTGTTCCAGATGGGAGACAGGACCGTGCACCACCAGCAGTGGAAGGTACATTTACTATTTATAGCAGTATAGCTAGAATACTATTTGATTCAGGTTCTTCATATTCTTTTATTGCACTATCATTTGTGGACACACTGGGATTAGAACCTGGACATATGAGTAATGCCCTATCTATTACAACTCCACTCGGGAGCACGACGACACTTGATAGAATATGTTGTGCTTGTCCTGTTACAATTGGGGAGTTGGAGTATCCTATTGATTTGATAGTATTACGTATGAGAGACTTTGATGCTATATTGAGTATGGATTGGTTGGCTAGATATCATGCTCAGTTGGACTGTCATGAGAGGATTATTGTATTCTCAGTTCCGGGACAGTTTCCTTCTCGATATAAGTGTGGGGAGTTCGAGGGCACCATGACTATGGGATTTCTTGCACACATTGAGGTGGTTGAGCAATGCGTGACTATAGAGCAGTTACCTATAGTGTCAGAGTATGTAGATGTGTTTCAAGATATTCCGGGTTTGCCTCCTAGGAGGGCAGTGGATTTCTGCATCGACCTCACTCCTGGTATTTCACCTATCTCTATGGCACCTTACAGAATGGCGCCAGTTGAATTGAGTGAGTTGAAGAAGCAAACTCAAGAGTTGCAAGATCGGGGGTTTATTCGACCAAGCACATCACCTTGGGGAGCACCTGTTCTATTTGTTAAGAAGAAGGATAGGTCACTCCGCTTATGTGTTGACTACTGTGCGCTGAATAAGGTTACTATTAAGAACAAGTACCCATTGCCATGCATTGATGATCTGTTTGATCAACTCAGAGGGGCGCAGTTGTTCTCTAAGATTGACTTGAGGACTGGTTACCATCAGTTGAGGATTAGGGAGGAGGATATTCCTAAAACTGCCTTCAGGACTCGTTATGGCCTCTATGAGTTTTTAGTCATGCCTTTTGGGTTAATTAACGCTCCGGCAGCTTTTATGGATTTGATGAACCGAGTGTTTCGACCCTACTTAGATAAGTTTGTTGTGGTATTTGTTGATGACATTCTGATATATTCCAAGACTAAGGAGGAGCATGAGAGACACTTGAGCATTACACTTTAAACTTTGCGTGAGCATTAGCTCTATGCTAAGTTTGAGAAGTGTGACTTTTGGCAGGAGCAGATTCAGTTTTTGGGGCATGTGATCTCTAAGGATGGAGTTTCAGTAGATTCTGCCAAGGTGGAGGCTGTAATGAGTTGGAAATAGCCTACTACTGTCACTGAGATTCGTAGTTTCTTGGGATTGGCAAGATACTACAGGCGCTTCATTGAGGGTTTCTCCAAGATTGCTGCACCTTTGACCCGTTTGACTCGAAAGGATGTGAAGTTTGTTTGGAACCACCGCTGTGAGCAGGCATTTGAGGAGCTGAAGACGAGATTGACTTCGGCACCAATTCTTACCATTCCTATTAGTGGTGAGAGATTTGTGATCTACATAGATGCATCACATCAGGGTCTTGGCTGTGTTTTGATGCAAGATGATAAGGTGGTAGCGTATGCCTCTAGGCAGCTTAAGCCACATGAGCAGAATTACCCTACACATGACTTGGAGTTGGCAGTAGTGGTTCTTGTAGTGAAGGTGTGGAGGCATTATTTGTATGGCAAGGAATTTGAGTTATTCTCTGATCACAAGAGCCTCAAATACCTCTACACTCAGAAAGAGTTGAATATGAGGCAACAGAGGTGGATGGAGAAGATGAAGGATTTTGATATGACCCTTCAGTATCATCCTGGAAAGGCGAATGTGGTAGCAGATGCCTTGAGTTGGAAACCGAGAGGATTAGTTACCTTTATGATGATTCAAGAGTGGATGATGTTAGAGGCATTGGCAGAGTTTTCTATCATGCCGAGTTCTCAGAGTAAAGGGGCTCTTCTTTGTAGTTTGATTATACAACTGACTTTAATCAACCGGATCATTTATGCTCAGAACCAAGATGACAGGTTACAGGCTAAAGCAGTTAAGGCTACCAATGATGAGGGTGATGTGGACTGGACGTGTGGAGTTGATGGTAGTATGAGATTTCGAGGTAGGCTATGTGTTCCAGACTTAGCAGACCTCAAGAAAGAGATTCTAGAGGAGGCACACCACTCTAGGTACACAGTGCACCCAGGTGGCACTAAGATGTATCATGATCTTAAGAGGCAGTTCTGGTAGGAATGCATGAAACGTGATGTGGCAGAGTTTGTATCTAGATGTCTCACTTGTCAGCGAGTGAAGGCTGAGCACCAGAGACCAGCAGGACTATTACAGCCTTTGCCTGTGCCTGAGTGGAAATGGGAGCATGTGACGATGGATTTTGTTGTGGGGTTACCGAGGTCGACACATAACCATGATACAGTATGGGTGATAGTGGACCGATTAACTAAGTCAGCTCATTTTCTACCCATCCGAGCTATTGATACTGTAAAGGAATTGTGTAAGATTTACATCAGAGACATAGTTAAGCTCCATGGAGTGCCAGTGTCTATTGTTTCAGATCATGATCCTCATTTTTCATCTCGGTTTTGAAGTAGTTTTCATGCAGCTTTTGGCACTCCTTTGAGTTTGAGCACTGCTTTTCATCCTCAAACTGATGGTCAGTCCGAGAGGGTCATTCAGGTGTTGGAGGATATGTTTCGTGCTTGTGCACTAGATTTTCGGGGCAGTTGGGAGGATCATATTCCACTGGTTGAGTTCGCTTATAATAATAGCTATCAGGTTAGTATCGGTATGGCACTGTATGAGGCATTTTATGGTAGACCTTGTCGTTCACCTGTATGTTGGGCTGAGGTTGGTGATGGTAGTTTTCTGGGGCCAGAGTTGGTACAATAGACTACGGAAAAGGTTGCCATCATTCGAGATCGACTTCGCATAGCTCAGAGTCGACAGAAGAGCTATGCAGATCGACGCCGTCGTGCTTTGGAGTTTAGTATAGGTGACTTGGTGTTTTTGAAAGTGTCACCAATGAAGGAGGCTGCGAGATTTGGTAGGAAGAAAGGGAAGCTAGCTCCTCGATTTATTGGACCTTTTGAGATTACATAAAGGATTGGGAAAGTGGCATATAGATTGGCCTTACCACCCAAACTATCTGCTGTTCATGATGTTTTCCATGTCTCTATGTTGAGGAGGTGCTTGAGGGATGAAACTCAGGCAGTTGACTGCACAGAAGTTCAGTTGCGTCCTAATGCAACCTATGTTGAGACTCCTGTTCGCATCATTGACAGTATGGTGAAACAGTTAAGGCGGGCAGAAATACCTCTAGTGAAGGTGCAGTGGAATCATCAGGACGAAAGAGAGGCTACCTGGGAGCTAAAGTCAGAAATGAAAGAAAAATAACCACATTTATTCGAATAAGGTACGCAAACTTTGAGGACGAAATTTCTTTCTAGGAGGATAGAATGTAATATCTTTAAAAATAATAATAATAAAATATATATATATATATATATATATATATATAATATATATAAGATATGTACGTATGTTTTTTTTTTTTGGGAACGGATTATGGTTGTGTTATCCTATTATTTTGAAATTTTAAAAAGAGTTTTATTTGACTTAAAACTCTAAAGATAATATCTATATTAGAGTTTGTATTGTTTTAGGTGAGGAAAAACAAAAAGAAAACACCGTCTTTCTCAAAACCTACCTTAAACTCTTATCACGTTAATTCCTAGGTACCGATAACTAAAGCATAGTCAACCTTCTGCAGTGGCTAGAAGGAGAGGTGATTAAAAGTCATATACGTGAAGAAGGAGTAGCGTTATCTTTTTTAGGCAAGTTAATCTTGCCTTATAATTTTATATATACAACTAACTTGCTTATTAAAGTTTTAATATTAAATTTTGAATTCTATGTCCTATAGTATATAGATCATCTTGTTAATATTAGGTACTTGTTGAAGATAGTTGTACATTATTTGTTTATATATAATGATATTATATTTACATACACACTTATAATTGTTAATTGAGCAATTCAAAGGATCTGTGTTAAATAGTATCATTTGGGTAAGAATTGTATGCTATCCTAATGTAAGTCTTTATTTTCTAAATTATGTGAATAGTCATTAATGAGTAGATCTATATATATATATATATATATATATATATATATATATATATATATATCTTCATACATATATATAATACACTGTTATATATATATATTTTTTTAGAAACTTAACTGGCATATAAATTTAGTTACATATATATTGATGTATGAATTCCTAATGTAGACTCGTTCATTATTTAGTCTTTTGTATAAATTTCTAATGTGGAATTATGAATTTCTGATGTTGAGTATCAATTAAGTATAGATTAAATGTGTAATTGAATTATCTATATAAATGCAATAAATTAGATATTTACTTACATGATATTACTTATTAAGTCTGTTTATAAGCATGGAAATTATAGTGTTAGGTCTCTAGGCATTCTGTATACGGGTGTATATCTGTAAGTATATATAGTTGATTATCAGTGTTGGACTTTAAGACATCTAAAGTATATAAAGTTGGTTTCATGGTTATCAGTTAAACAATATATCTATATTAAGGAAAAGACACTGGGCTGGGCTTTGATTACATGTGACTATAAAAATTATATTTAATTATTTAACTTTCTCTAGCATTGAAATGACACTACTGTTGGCTGGAAAACGTGACTAAGGTGATGTGGGTTAGTGACCATTAAACCACATGAATAATGTTTTGTATATACATATATAAATACTATTTGACTAGTATCAGTAGGTTGTATAGGACATATGAACTGTGGTTGAAGATAATTTTAAGTTACCCGATCACATGATAGTTTAGTGGGATTTTCCTAAAAGTTTAATTGTAATTCTCATAATTGGGTAATTAAAGGTGTATTTTTATGCATTAATTATTATTAATTAATAATTTTTTTTTTTTATAATTCACCATAATTAATAATTAATGGATGAGTTGGTTAGTTGGAGGGGTAGTCAAGGACTAACCCTATGATGACTTTTGGGTATGGTCAGGGACTTACCTATTTGGGAGTGCACTACCCTTTATTATGGCCATGGGTCTAATGAGCCCTTATTGTGTGGACGTGATCAGGGATCATCTGGGGAGTAGACGTATAATCCAGCCACACGTGTGTTTTCGGTAGCCAGGGACTATACGATTCACACCACTCTATTGGATGAGAGCCCGGGGCTCATATAAGTTATGTAGATTTAATAAAAGTAAATAATGTTGTTGAGTTTATAATTAATTGGAGATTATAAAATTCTTTAGTAATACACTTAATTGAGTTGATTTTATATCTGGGAATATAAGGTATGGTTAACTTGCTGAATGATGATTGTGTTTAGCATTTCTTTCTGAGCTTGTGAGCTCACCCTATTATCACATTTCAGGTGCTCGTAGAGTAAGAACGTGATGGTGACACGCGACGGGGACGGATTATAGCTCGTTGCGCATTGATTTATTTTAGCTTAGTTTTCCTTTATTATGATTATTGTAATAAAGTTAATGTTTTATGAAACTTTATCGAGTTGATTCAGTGGTCATAGATGTTCTGTTATATTAGAGGGAATTTCACCTCTATTTATGGATTTGTATAAGATTTGTCGGACTCTTATGGTTATTAAATTGAATGATGGGATTCATCGTAGTTCTTTCATGAAGGACAAGTAGTTCTTGTGTTAAAATTTTGGGTGTGACATTACTATTGTTTCCACCTTGGTGTCCGACAGTAATGGCCAATTCAGTATTAGAATAAAATATAAATAAATAATTTTGATATTTTTTTTCGATTTAGTAATCTGAGTGAATTAACTAATTTGTTTGTAAAAAGATTTTTTATTTAATTATTATTATCATTTTGTTAACATTTCAAATGACAAATGACCCACCTCTAATTTTATTCAGTTTTGGCTGGCATTTAAAGATCCAAATTAATGGATTCCATATTAAGCTTTTAATTTTCATTATATTTTATTTATATCACATACGTAGAGTCAACTAGAATTGAGCAATAGAGTCTATAAGTATTGCTAGGCATATTTTGATGTTAAAGAGGGAAAAGCTCAGAGGTACACTAACATTTGCCCATATATTTACGAAAACGGTTGCTCTCTCTCGTACTCAAATCCGCATTGTCATTGTTATCTTGAAATTTTAAAATCACTTGGAGCAATGATTCCTAATAGGAAAATGATTCTTAACAGATTACTTAAAGGTTTGACCTACAAGTTTTGATCGATCATGTATGCAAAATATAAAAAAGTGGGACCCTTCACTTTTTTATTTTTGGTAAAGATATCAAAACTTGTAGGTCAATTCACTTTGCTAGTTCAGCCCAAATATCACTACTCTTTCTAATATATAATTAAAATGTTGAATGGGAGGTTGCCACCTCACATTCTGGAGGTCTACCCCTGACATTGAATGGGAGAGAAATGGATGTGAAAGGCTAAAAGCAATGGTAAGGTTCTTTACTGGTAATTATTCAATGAATGTATGTACAGTGGCGGACACAGAGGGGGGCTTGAGCCCCCCCCCCCCCCCCCCAAAAAAAAAAAAAAAAACAAAAATTTTTAGTATAGTATGTTCATCCCAATTTTTTTTTTTTAAAAAAAAAATTAATAGTAGTATTAGCCCCCCTTTTTAACCCATTCAAAAAAATTTTGCTTATGAATACTAGCTCCCCCCATTGACAATTCCTGGATTCGCCCTTGTGTATGTATGTTCTTTATCAGTAATTATCCGATGAATGTAGGATGGAGGAAATGGAGTGTTCTAAGATGTCTAACATTATCGTCTCGAAAAAAAAAAAAAAAAAAGGACTTGCCATCACAAAACCAAACCACATACTTAATTTTACAATGTGGTGGTCCCAAGGGTACGTACCTAAACCAATTTTAGATGGTTGGGTTTAAGAAGCATTACCACAAAGCTGAGGACATGCAATGGCAATAAATGCAACATCTATACAATTCAAAAAGCATATGTTTCCCTTTTGTTTTTATATTCAACAGAACTTACCAATTAACCGGAAAGTTGAAACCAAACTAGGAGGAAAAGAATAACTAAAGCTAGTTTGTTAAGTGCCGAAAAAGAATGCAGCCGACTTAGTTTTGGTTGATCATCCACGCTAAGTCTAAATCTCTCCGACCCCACCCAACACATAAGTTCTTGC